CGATCATTTTTGGCTGTGAAAATAGCAAACATATTTCTGGCACACCCCCGAATCTAAAGGTCTACCGCCAGCACTTAGATTTACCATTGCAATAGGTTTGTTAATCGAGTACAAATTACATGACCCTCCCCTGGACCAAAAAAATAACAACTAAACCCTCCCCCTGACTGAAATTGTAAAAGCATGACCCTCCCCAATTTGCCTCCAGGTAACAATTGTGTAAATTTCGACCACTCCCTAAACAATTCAACTTTGGCAAAGGGTAAAGTCTACAAAACTTAGTCCACTCTGTTCATAACAGAGTGGACTAGAAAACTTTCTGGGAACAGAAAACTGTATTGAGTTTTCATCTATGAGAAAATGTGCAGAATATCGGCCAAAATCCATCTTGCTCTATCTTCTCCCACTGCCGGCCACTGGGCTTCCTCTCATTAACCATATTTGCTGTGAGTGGAAATTCCAACCAGATGCTTCAGATTTATACATCCGGTGAAACATCTAGCTCATTGTTCTATCTGTGATAGTACTGTATAGGCTACACTATGTGACCACAATCGATGATATACCAAGCAAAGCAAACCAGGGTAGAGGGAAAAACATTACAGTGAAAAAGAGTGTGCCTTGCCTAGTCCTCTATCCTGACACTCAACACCTAAACCCCTCTAGAGCCATCAAGAATCTTCTCAGTCAATCCAAAGTCACACATTCCTTCCATCTCCCAGCATCCTCTCCTCCTCCTGACCTCCATGGGCTGGGACAAAGTCGCCAGCGTCAGCACATCACAGCAACCCAATCTGGACAGACACCCGAGGAGAGGCGATGCCACCCCAGCCTGGCAAACTGTCTACGCTACTGCTGAAATACTGCTACTGAAATGGATATATGGAGCTGAGAGTTCCTAGAACCACACATAGAGATAAAGATCCTAAAATGTACAGTATATTTTATATATGAGGGAACCTTTGTCCCAGCCTACTGTATGTCTACACTTTATATACAGATGATGGATGTGGCTTGATTGTCCCTGAGAGTTTAAACACTGACAGATGTTGAAATGGACGTGGCAGCCCTCAAGCAGAGCTCTGGCTAACACAGCTTTGTCACATCTGCACTGGACCACATAAGGATGCTGTGTGTTGAATGTCAAATTGTGTGGCCTAATTTAATTACCGCCACCAGAGAAGTCAAACAGAGCCTAGTCACCTTCTACTGACCCTCTTACAGCTGTCTGAGACACAAGCTACAGATACTGGTACAAGATGCCCTGAGGCACAGATCTAGGATCAGCTCGCCTTCCCCAGATCCTTATAACTGTTAAAAACAAAAACAAACGTTTTAAGTGAGAAGTAGGTGTGATGGAAATTTGAATGTTGGTGCATTTCTATTTACCAATTTCTATGTTCTACGTTTGTGCATTTCTTATAAAGCAATTTCTGTGTTCATGCAAGTGACTGACTGAACAAATCCTCACTATCAGTATCTGCAGTATCGGCCGTGATTGGGAGTCCCATAGGGCGGCTCACAATTGGCCAGGGTAGGCCGTCATTGTAAATAAGAATTTGTTCTTAACTGACTTAAATAAAGGTTAAATATATATTTTTTTAAATTGGCAGTACGCCCAGACCTTGTTTTGACAACTAAAGATATCTCGGTTTCAAGGTCTATCCTTAAAGAGAAGAAGCCTCATGAGGTATTGGTCTGTCACATGTTATGAACCAGTATTGGTCGGTCACATGAATGGAACAAAACGGTAATGATTAATTAATTATGCTAAATCATGCAAATATAACTTGTCTGTGTATAGCCGTATATAAGACAACTGCTGGGACTGCCCCTGCAGAGCTTCTGACAGACGTTCACTATGGTGCATTAAGTTTGTTGGAACCTCTCCAGCGCGCTGACAATAAACAATGATTCATTAAAGATTGACTTTGAGTGTCCCTGTGTAAGAATTTCCATGACATAGGCATTGGTCTGAAGCCGAAAAAGAAAGGAAATTCATGAGCTCCACAATTCCTACTCCACCCATGCTCTACCAAGGGGTAACATGAACACATTAAAATGCTAAGGTTAT